CGCTGGGAGCACCGTGCCTGCCCCGCCTGCCTTCAGGCTCTTATGGGAGTTAGGCCAGATGCTCCTAGGTGACCAGAAAGCCAAACAAAACAGGGAACTAGACAAGGCTGGTGCATGCAGGAGACGGAACACCAAGCAGCGGTTTCTCCCCACCCTCTGACCTTCACGGAGCTGCAGGTTTAGAGAGAAAAGTAAATGTCAGAGGATTAACAGTTTCATTTATGGCTGAAAACAGTTCAAAGCCTTGAGCTGAACGGCCTCAAAGTCAGCGCTGCGGTCCTTCGAAGCCGTGGTCTCTGTGCCGGCCGCAAGCCCCGGGCTGCAGGCAAGACAGTACACAATACCCGTTTGGGAAGGCCGGGCCTCCAGAATGAGGACGTCCGGGTTGAGCGTGGACGCCGCGCGGGAGGCGCACAAGCACGGCACGCAACTCCTGCCCCCGCCCTGCCCTCCGACAGGCTGGCCGTCTGGTGAGGGGCTCAAGCTGCCTCCCGTAGGCTCTGTTCACGGGCCCGCCCCTGCAGCATTGGCTACTGCCTTCTGAACAGGAGGGAGAAGCTGAGAAATCAAAGTCCTTCCCACACGCGCCTGGGTGGGAAGCACGGCCGCCCTGCCGCCGGGGCTGTGCTCCACCGAGTCCGCACTCACGCCCGCCCTGTTCCCTGCGCCCTCGACACGCTACCTCTCACTGGCTCCGTACTTAAATCAGACTGACGCCGGCCAGGACCTCCTTCTTCCTCTCAGTATTCGCTATGGGACGCAGGGACAGAGGAGATGCCTAATGAGATGTGCTTTAAGGAGAAGTTCACACACGCAGTTCTTAAACGCTGCACAGTCAACACCTGGCCGGGGGTCCCGCAGTCAGGCCACCCACACACCATCCTAGGCTTCTCTCTCCTCCACAATCTCGCTTCCCTATCTGCCTGTGTCTTCTCCCCCATGGTTCATTCTGGTATTTATTTTAGGTTTAGCCTTTAAATTTTTTCCAGTGTGTCACAAGGGACCTCCCTAGGGGCACGTCTTGCCCCAGGAAGTCCGTGGTATGATTTTAAAACCTTTTGTTTATGTGCAGGTGATGCGTTCCAGTTACAAGCTGCACAGCAGCCCTGAGAGAAGGTCTGCTGTTCCTCAGGGCCACTGAGGCCTCTGAGGAAGAGATGGGCAGTCAGGACTTGCTCTCTCAGTCCCACTTACCTGCAAAAGTTTCAGGCCCAACAGTATGATGCTGGTCAAGGGAAATAGTATTGTTTCTAGAGTGTCGTGAGGACAGTGCATTTTACTGGCTTTCTCTCAATCCCAGCAGCAACAAGACTAAAAGCAAAAATGAACCCAGACTTAAAAAGCTGAGATTGTGTGACTAGGAGGTGAGAGGAACTGTCTGGACCTTCTCTTCGGAGCATAACTTTCCTAAAAGTCATGAACGAAACCTTCCTCTGCTGTTCACAGTGACTCACATAATATATTTAATAAACTTCAAATACCAGTGACGGTGAAAGCAAGCAGGATGATCATTTCTTACAATGTTAACCATCTTCTTAGAAATCGGATGCTCTTAGAAATAGATGTTCTTTCATCCCTAAAAGTAAAAAGGCAGTACTGAAGCTTACAGTCCGATTACGTTATCCAATAATTCTTTAAAAAATGGGATTTGATGTCACATAAGCATCTTCAATTTAGAGATGGAGGTACACGACCACAGATGGAAGCTGGGCAGAAGTAGAAATATGACGCAACTCCTTTTCGATGACCATTTCTGTCTCTCCTGGGTCCTCCTTCTGGATCACACAGACTGAAAACACTTCTACCCTCGTTGAAGCGAGATCTCCTGGCAGATGTGACACATGGATGCTAGAATGAGAATCTTCCAATATGCAGCTCTTGAGGGTTCAGGAGCCCAAGAAGATATGAGCAGCAGTGAGGCCTCGGCTCTGGACCAAGTCTCCCTGGGATGCTGAGTCCTTCTCGCATATAAGGTATACTGAGTGTCACGGGCCCAGCTCTCCCAAAATCTGAGACAACATCTTAGCTCCAAAATCGCATCAGCATGAAAACAAAACGCTGCAGTCTACTTGAGATCGTTTTTTCTCTAATTAAAATTTTTATTGAAATCTCAAATGTTACCAAGAAATAGTTTTTGCAAAAGGGGGAAGAAAGAGCTAACAAGCAAATTCAACATGGGAGCTCCCTCTGCTGGTCTGCAGGAGGTTGATATGTTACAAACACATTCCCAGAGACAAATCTAATTTGCTGGAGAAGTGGACAAAAGACAGGTGTGTTGGGCTTTGCCTCAGGAGAGAAACACTAGAAGAAAAAAAAAATCCACGTCTCAAAACAGAGCACAACATCACTAAGAAAAGCAAAATTATTTAAAAGCTGATCTCCAAAGACATAATACGCTTTCCGAAACAAAAATGGAATTAGCCACTAAGAGGACGCTCCATTTTGGTCTCCCCTCTGCTCTACCTCCAGTTAATAACAATTCTCTCAGGCCCTCTGGGTGAAGGTTAAGTTCTGATTCCCTCGTCTCTGTCTCCAAGTCTCTTCTTACAGGCTTCCCATCTAGTTACAGGAGAAAGATCCAAGGAGTCACTGGAGCAAGGCCTTTCCAAAATTCCATCAAAGAATTAGTCTTTGGTGAGCCAGCACTGAGGTGTGGAAAGAGCTGGGAGTCAGGTGAGCTGGCTCTGGTCATGGCAGAGCACTTGCGACTCTGGACAGCTCTCTCCTCTTCTCCAGTCTGTTTCCTCATCTGTAAAATGGGTCAGACCAGCTGATCTGTCAAGCCTCTCCCAGTTCATTCTACGATTCTCACACTGGACAAAGACATTTAAATGACCGTATTTGTTCATCAGTCTTTAGGATACAGAACCCAAGCTTGCACTGGGAATGACCCCAAACAAGAAGTGGGGTTGAGCACAAGGATCTCACTGGTATCAGAAGAGAGTCCCACCAACCGTAGGACTGATGTGGCAGCACCAGGTGGATTCCTGGCTGGGAGAGCCTCAAGGTCAGGGAAGAGCTCACGGGGAAGGTGCCACCCTGGGCGATACGTCCCAGTAAAGCATAACGGTTGAGTCCATGTAATCTTGGCACTGTCTCTCCTCATCCTTTCTCACAATGGCCTGGGCTTTCTGATCTCTTAAGACTTTTTACCCTCCTTCTCCCACCGTATTCCCCAGAATGACTTTTGATTTCATCCGTTCTATGAATGAAGCAAGGGCAAATTACCCAGACATCACGGCCAAAAGCCGCCATTCGCAGTCCTTTCTGGCCACTGTCAACTCCTGCTTTTCCAGGACAGTGGTGAAAGGCTTTGGTGCCGATTAACCAAAGCCATGGGTATTTAGAAGACTAGGCAAACTTGGCACCATTTCATGGTATTATTAACATCTGCCTCAGTCGTCAATTGATCTGTATCTAGGCAGCACAGGAAGAGGTGGGTCACCTGTCCCCAGATGGCAGGGGAGGGCCACAAACACAGGGGCCTTTCTGAGTGGCTCCACGGCATCTACAAAATAATCTAAGGTCACTACGAGCATTCTGATGACTCAGCAGAAGGTATCAGCCCGTTTCCTTTCCCTCCGCCCTCCCCCGCTACCTGCCGCTGCAAGGGTGACCAAGCACTGACACAGACAAGGGTGGAAAACGCAACAGGGAAGGGAAAGCAGAAAGCACAGCGAATCCGGAAACTGGGTCATCAGTCTCGGAAGAACCCCCGTTACTTTGTTTTCGGTGCCAAACACTCTCCCCACCACCACCTTTCTCCTCACTACCTGTGCTCCTTTCTACCCACTTCTTCCAACACAAAGGGCGATCACTTCCGAGGCCCAGGTACCCAGGCCTTCTCCTTATAGTCTGCCTGCACGGTCCCTGGGAGGCTGGGCTGTCCGTGCACATACGGAGCATCAACAACTCAGCTGAGAGAGAATTTCCGGAAGGAGGTCCAGCTGAGAACACTCCCGACCCCATGGCCTGCCTGGGAGACCCTCGCTGGGGCCGCGTATAGGTGTCTTGCACAACACAGTAAGTTGTGTACAACATAAGACTTTTAATTATTTCATCCAGCCTGGTACACAAACACTAAGCAAAACAAACCAAAACCCCACCTGTTCAGGCTGGTAACTTTTTAAAAACAGGCTTTCCTGCTTTTAGAGGAGTTACACATGCAGTAAGACAAATGAGAGCTATATTCTTTCTATCTTATTTGTTATAATTGATCATCACGCTGAATCCTAACCTTGATTACTACTATTGGTACTAGAAGCAAAGCTAAAAGAAACATCGTTTCCAAGGGAAGAGAAAGGGTTGGTAGGTAGACAGTAATCTTTGTGAAGAAACAGCGGAGTTTGTTCATAAAGCCCAGGCTATTTTAACTAAGAAAGAAAGCTGGTCAGAAGAGATACCTCTACCTTGACCTATAATTACATTTAAGACACTATACTGTACCTCCTTTTCTACAGGGTCTCTTAAAAATGGAAAAAAGGAACCCTTAATCTCTTCTTTAACATATGTATCACAGCACATAACCTTCCTCCTGGAAGCTCCCAGCTTGCTCCTTCGTCCCTAGAGCTCCCAGAACACAAGAGAAGAGACCTCAGCACACAGGAGCACACGCAGACAGGTAGCTCTTGTAACAAGCGCACGCCTTCCTCTGCAGCCCTTCCCCACGGCAAGGCACACACATCTCTGCTCCCGTGACACCCTCTAGCTGGCTGGGGAGGTGACCTGGGCCCAAGTCTCTCGTGTGTGATATGAGGGTGAGATCATTAAGGAAGAGAGAGGTGTTGTTTGGGGCAAACATCAGGCAGTGGGTGATATCATTGCTGTCAGACGGTCCTCGGAAGTCCTGGAGGAGTGTCAGCTTGATTCAGAGGGGATCAGTAATCTCTTGAAGGCGGATCTGTTAGCTGGATAGGGGTTAGTTGTATGGTGTGCCCTGGGGAACCAGGTTTGAAAGGGCTGCTGGTGGAGTGAAGTCGTGGCCGATGGGTATGAATTACCTGGGCATGCAGTGAGGCGGGGTAGGTGAAAGCAGGAGGTAGAGCAGGCGCTAGCTCCGCTGGGTACAGAGGGTACGGGGCCCACACTTCAGGGCTACTGGGGTAAAGTGCAGGCACTGTGAGCTCATCTGCAAGAAAAGAATAAGGGAAGAGTTAGTGGTTACCAAACAGCTGGCTTCAAATCAGAAACAAAACACCCAGTGTAGCCCCGAGCCCCAATCAATGTCAGAAGTCAAGTCGCTCTCATTCTTTCAATAACCTGTTGGCTTCGGTCCCCCCAAACACTAAGCAAGAGAATGGTAAATACAAAATGGACCAAAAAAAAGCAAGAAATCTGCTTCCTGTCTGGCCTGCTGAGATCTCAGGCCCGGGCTCCACCCTGGACACTCTGATGTCTTTCCAACTGTAGCTCGGGGGAACCCACGAACAGTGGGGACTTCCTGCACCAAACAGCAAACGGGGTCCTCCGAGGAAAAGAGGAAGAAAGAACTAGGAGGCGATCTCCCATGAAGACTCCCTGCAGAGCCTTTGGGAGAACGGCGACAGACCAGAAGCACTGGAGGACTTTCCTGTGAATCAGCATAATTACTACGGACAAGTATCGGGATCACCAAACGGTTTCTGTTTAGAAGCACAAGGCCAGACACTGTGCCTATAGGGCACGTAAGGTGTTAAAAGTTCAGAGAATGGAAGTGCAAAGCCTGGGGTATGCCGATTAAAGTTAAGCCCCACGAAAATCCAAATAAGGACATTCACAATTGCTGTTTACACAGATTTTATTTTCTAGGGGAAAAAAGATGAGTCATGTTGCCAACTGACTGGTCTAAAGGGACCTCGTGGACCTCCGATTCCACTCAGGTCAAGCTGCAGTTTGCCGGGTTGAAGGGCAAGTACCGGGCCTCAGCATGGATCAGGAAGCAACCCATTAAAGTAACAGCAAACACACAAGGGAGCGTCTCAGCAAAGGCAAAAATAACCTCAGTCAATAGTTCTGAATCTGGAACCTGTGAAGCAGCCGTCTCAATACGTGCTTTTATCACCTGTCAAAGTCTGACATCAAGTAGGCCCGGATGCCCCCCAGGGCCACCGAGGAAGTCAGGAAAAGGTGACCCGGCGAAGCCATCAGTGCCTGTGCCATTCAGGACGTCCCACAAGGGTACAGTGCACGCGACCCAAGGTCAAGAGAGTCCCTTCACTCCCTCCCACCATCTAAAGCCAGCGCAGGCCTGCATTGTAGGTCTCCCCCATCTCCCCCGATTCTGACCCCGGGCAGGGTTTTCAGCGTGGGAAGGGGGTTAGACACAGAAAACCACTTTGCTGAGTGTGACGTCGGGACTGCTCTACAGAACCAGCGGAAGGCAGCTGAGGCCGTGTGCGCGTCTGCGCCAGCGGACAGGGTGTGCGCACGGCTCCTGCGTTCAAGAGCTTCCAACAGGCTGAGAGACGGTCCAGAGCTGACCAATCAGGACGCGTCAGGGGGCAGCCGGGGATGCCCGCAAGGTGGGGTTATATATGTGGCCGCCCCGACTCCCTCTCTCAACAAGGCAATTGAAACGACCTCAAGACTTGGTGATGGGAACACAGATGGCCTGTCTATCTAGGCTGGGAAGCCTAGGCCAAAACAGCAGACTAATAGTAATTATCTGAAGAGGAGAATACTAGCACCATAGCCCTCTTTAAAGTGATCAGGTCTATACCACCTACTTCCAGTTCTAGGGTGTGTAGGTGTCTGCAGTTTCTGTAAGGAAATTCCTTACAGAGGGGTTAAGAGAACGCTTCACAGACCCCCATGTTTCCTGTCGTGATGAGACCACATGATGTCCATTAGAGCAACAACTCCTGTGAGAGCCCAGCTCGTGGAAACCAAATAGCCCCAGAACCAATGCCTCAGATTTTTTTTTAAACAAACAACCATTCTCAGGAATGGCAAGCTATTACTGTTGCTGTTATTGTTATTTCAGCTACCATGCTATTTTAAGACACTGAGTCTTTTTTTTTTAAAGGCAAGAGTCTCAAGACCCAGCACACACTAATTTCTCAGCCCACGCTTGTCCAGCCCCACTGTGACGGCAGAAGTCTATCAACCAGCATCAGAGGGGCTGTGCCTGGCCTGCAGCCTGACGGGCTAAAGGTGAGGCTGGCTGCAGGGCACCCTGGGGCTTCCTTTAGAAAGGTTTTCAAATGTGTGTCTTTTAAGATATCTGATCCTAAAGAGACAGTCTGGGTTTCAATCTCAGCCTGATGGAATTTACGATTTCCATACATTTCCACATTTTACCCTAAAGCATGACTTCACACTGGGCCTATACAGATGCTTGGAGACAACTCACTGATTGATATTTGCATAAAACCTAGCCCAGCCGAACGGGGTGGGGGTGGGGGTTGCTTCCAAATCCTCTAAACCCAAAGTTGCAGAGTCATAAATAGTATATAGTCAGGTAGTGAAGCAGAGGCCTAAAAGAGACTAGGGGAAATGCACACGGGATAAATCCCTTCTTCCATCTCCTCTCAGGATGGATCTGGAGTTACGGTCCGGAGGAGGATGCACGCAAAATATGTCAGCGGTGACGCTCTGTGTCGCTGAGAACGGGGAGAGGACGGCAGGGAGGGGGTTACCGACGACACATTCTGCGGGCAGGAGCCAGGTCTCACTCAAGTCTGCACCCCTGGGCCAGCTCTGACCCCGGCATTTAGCCTGCAATGATGCTTGTTGTCCTGAATAGTCCCCGACAGAAAATTCTACAAGTTGTTTAAAGATACACCACTGTTTTCTTTGTTAAAGGAACTGAGGGAATATCCGTAGGAACTAGATCTAACATTTCTCAGTCCTTGCAGTATTTGTCACATCCACCAAAAAAAAAAAAAAAAAAAAAAAAAAGGAGCAAAGGCAGAGGCTCAAACAAGAGCAAGTGCTTTGGAGCAAGAATCTTGACAGTGAAAAATAAAAGCGATGGAACCTTTCTTCAAACGTGTTTCCCAGAAACTCTTGTTTACTAAGAGTGCAGCAGTTTGGGTTGACTTGCTGGTGGTCGTGGGGACGGCTGGAGGACCTCCACCCCTGTGGAGTCCCCAGAAAGTACACCAGGGTTCCAGAGAAAACAGCTTGAAAACCGCTCCTGCAGCTGCTGTCACCCAGGGACCGGTTTTTAAAGTAAGCTCCTCTTCAAAATCTCGGAAGTCTGAATTCATTCCTGTAGCTCCTGGAAGCCCAGCTGAGAGAGGACGGGCAGGTGGGCAATGAGTAGCCAGAGAGGGGTGGGGAAGAAAGAAGGAACAAGGAAACACCTGGGAGGGAACGAAATAGGCTCTCTTGACGAACTTCAGTGGCCAAGGTACCCTGAGCCCCTGGAGGGCCCGGGGGGGAGCTTGAGAGAGCTTTAATGGCCCCGCAAACTGAGGTGTTGATAAATCTGACCCAAGCCGTACAGCGGGTAAGATAACAGGAAGAAAGGTAAACAACCCAGGTGGAGCTGTTCACTCCCTCCCCCATGTCCCCAAGCCACAGCTTCCCGTCAGCACTGCAGCTCCCGCAGGTGGCTCCCTGGACCAGCAGAAACAGCAGCAGGGGGCACGGGGGGAATGCAAATTCTCGGCTCACCCCCAGACCTACAAAACCAGAAATTCTGCCCTCCAGGTGATTCCGATGCACGCCTAAGTATGAGAACCACTGCTATCTTCCTACTTGTCTTTCTTATTCTATTATTAGCTGCTTGAGTAAAGTGTTAGGCATTTTGCTTTCAAAGTGCCCGGGATAGTACCTGTTACACAGTATCTGTTGAATACATGAATGAAACACTCCAGGAGAGAAAATGCAAATGACAGCGATAATCCTGGACTTGTTTTGGGAGTGAAACTGGAGGGTCAAAGCTGACCCAGCCCGACATCCCTCGCTTGGCTCAGGGCCACCCACGAGTGACAGAACCGCACAGGCACAGCAGAGGCAGCCGGCCCCGGTCAGGATCACACTGGTGGGAGAGCAGCCCTCATGGACGCCTGCATTTCACCATGCGGCTGCAGACTCCCCGAAACGGCACACGCTCTCCTTTGATGGAAGAGGGCAGTGAGCTGCACAAGCTTTTAGCATCTGTATGCTCTTTTTTGTTGCTAATGTGGGCTTGAGAAAATTACAGCAGCTAGAGACAGGTTTTCCACAGCCCAAGCCCTTTGTACGACTCCCGGGTGGAAGGAGAGACGCCAGCACCGCTCAGGTGGGCTTCACCTTCCGGAGCCGCCGCGCAGCCTGCTCTGACTTAACAGGACGGGAAGGCTGAAAAAAGAAGATAAGTTTGCCGCCCTAGGCCCATTGGGATGAACTGGAGTCGGGGAGGGGGTTAAGGTCCCCTAACAAAAGAGGCTCTTGACCACCCAGAGTGAGCCAGGCCCCAGGGAGCAGAAAGAGATCAGAAGCCCAGGGCTTTTGTCTGGGCCTAATCTGACCCTCCTGAGAGGCTGGGTCAATCCTTTCCCTAGGCGCCAGATCTGGCTACATCCTTTTCTCCTTTGGCACCTCTGAGGATAACGTTGTTGAGGGCTCACAATATACATCTGAATAGGCCTTTTTCTTAGCATAAGAGTATGCAACCGGGAGAGTTCAAACTGAATTCTAACCAACAAAGACTAGAAACGTCCCCAATTCCAACCTCCAATCCCTTTGAAAAGAAAGAACTGCAAAGTCTGATGAATGTTTAAACCGAAAGAGCTCATGAAGATCACCTAGCCTGCCTTTCCATCTGGGTGAGGAAACAAGGATGCAGACAGGCGAGGCTTCCAGTCTAAGGTCACATTGAAACGGATAAAGATGAATGACTCTTAGAGACAACTGAGATAAAGAGGAACAAGGAGACTCTTTAATGGAGCGACCTTAGGATAGCTGTGAACACACGGCCCAAGAACTTTTAAGTCAGTATTTACTTTGTCTCTTGGATATTTCTATTTGGAAATATTCCACGGCAATCTCGTGCTCAACATGTCCCAAACGAAACACACTCCCTCCAGTGGCCTGTCTTCCTTGGTTCCAGATTTCAGTAAAAGATGCTGCTTAGTTGCCCAAGCCAGGGTGACCTGGAAGTCACCCCACCTTCCCTCACATTCGATCTTTCACCAAGGTCCTATTGAATCTATCCTATCA